GTGCCTATACCCTTCGCCCACAAATAAAGAGACTGGGACTGGACTTCTACCGACGAAAGGGACGACGACCCACTAAGCCACGAAACTACGAAGAGAAAGAACAAATTCTTACATTTCAAATAAAACTAAAAATAAGAAATTAAAAAGAACCTTACAAACGACGGCGACTTGCAAACTTAGAATTAAAGACGACACTCTAAAGTTGCTTCACTTAGAGAAGGATACAGGTGGAGTGGCACTTGCGGAGAGACGAAGAGGTTAGAAGCCCGAGAAGAAAGGTTGGAAAGAGCCCGCAGGATTTCCGGAGGGGATGAGAAAGAAGGGTGGAAAGAGCCCGCAGGATTTCCGAAGGAAACCCGCAGGTTATAGCTTTTCCAAAAATAACATATCATTCAACTATTTCAAACATTACAAGTCCCCCATATATATAGGTATGAAAGGGAATATCAAAAGACACATAACATTAATTTGCACAAGAACCTAAGCATCATGAGCACGAAAATCCCCCCCCATGCATCACAGAAAACAGCCCAAGCCCAGGAACTGAAGTAGCAGCCGCGGGAGACAAGGAGGCCGCACGGAACCAAGGAGCCACAGCCACGGGAAACATCCCAAGCTCAGAAAACCAGCAGCCGGTCGGAATTCCAAGGGGCAAAGGCAAAAAATGCCATGGTGGAATTCAAGGAGCCACACATGGGAAAATAAAACATCAATCTTGGGATTCCAAAAACCCTTTTGGAACCCAAGAGACACCATAACTTAAAATATTAAAAACTATAATAAAAGTGCATTAAATAGAAGATAAATATGAGCTAAAACTTAGCTAATAATGAGCTAACATCTAGTCCAATAAATGAACTAAAAATCAGCTCATAAATGAGCTAAATTCCAGCTCAAAATTCTTTGAGCTTGAAGACTCGGAAGAAGCCAAAATTGATTTAATTTGGGTCTGAGTTGACCCCCCCTTTGCATACATCAGACTCCCCTTCTTGAGGACTCAGCTCCCGATGAGTCAGTTCTTGTTGTCTTCCGAAGAGGAGAAAGACGGAGCATCCAGTTCATTAATCAGGTCTTCATACTTCTGCATGATCTCCTCTGGTTTTTTCAGGAATTTATCTTGTAAGCGTTGCTTTTTCTTGAAGTACCTTTCTGTACGTATGTGCATCCATAATTGAAGCTTGTATAATTCATACTCCAGAGGATTTGCTGACTTTGATGGAATCCACCTATCCATAGGATTTTCAATTTCTTCAGGTTTGCTTTCTTCTATCTTTTTGTCTTTTTTCATTTTTTTGATGACCCAAACAAGACAAAAAAAAAGACTCAAAAGACTCAACCTAAACTTAGACTCACAATAAGACTCGACTTGACTAACTAATTTGACAAACCAAAATTTGACGACCAAATCCAAGGACTTCCTAACTTGCTCTGATACCAAATGATGCGGGCAAAAAATATAGGGGTGCCTATACCCTTCGCCCACAAATAAAGAGACTGGGACTGGACTTCTACCGACGAAAGGGACGACGACCCACTAATTAGACAGAGCAAGCGGCCGCGGGAGACAAGGAGGCCGCACGGAACCAAGGAGCCACAGCCACGGGAAACATCCCAGGCTCGGAAAACCAGCAGCCGGCCGGAATTCCAAGGGACAAAGGCAAAAAAAGCCATGGTGGAATTCAAGGAGCCACACATGGGAAAATAAAACATCAATCTTGGGATTCCAAAAGCCCTTTTGGAACCCAAGAGATACCATAACTTAAAACATTAAAAATTATAATAAAAGTGCATTAAATAGAAGATAAATATGAGCTAAAACTTAGCTAATAATGAGCTAACCTCTAGTCCAATAAATGAACTAAAAATCAGCTCATAAATGAGCTAAATTCCAGCTCAAAATTCTTTGAGCTTGAAGACTCGGGAGAGGCCAAAATTGATTTAATTTGAGCCTGAGTTGACCCCCCTTTGCCTACATCAGATAATTATTCCAACTCTGACCTCCAAAACCTAGTTTCTCTTTATCTTCTCTTATGTTCTCCTCCTCGGCCTCTCTCTAACATTTCTGGCGAATGAGAATGACATAGGGTGAACGGGAAATTTATATAAAAATGTCAAAATTTGCCCAGTGTCGCAAGGACGCTTCTCATAGCACTACAATGTCTATTCGAATATTTCTGATGCTCTAGACAAAGAACTTAGCTCCACAGCACCACAAAGCTCTCAAGTGGTTCAAAGTTCCTTTCCAAGAAAGATAGATAAGCGCTGCAATGCTTATTTCTTTAGTGTTGCAACACTCTCTCAACTATTTTCTCATAAAAAGAGAGGTTAGCACTGCCGCAATAGCACCGCAGTGCTCTCAAGAAGTTTTTACAGTTGAAAAATTTTCAATTTTCTAATTCAACTACAAACTCTTTTGGACCTAATTAAATATTGAATAACTTCAAATTTCACATACATTTAACGAAAACAAAAATAAACATACAATTCTTAGCAAATTTGGTTTAAGTCATTTTAGGACTTCTATAACAACATTCATTACAATAAGGGGAGCAAATTCCCTACTGATAAAAAGAAAATGTTTACTCTCTTTAGATTCCTCATCAAAGTAGGACAATTCTCCAATGTTGCTAGTACCCTATCAATCCTCTTCCTTGATCTCTAATTCTGAAATTGACAATGTTGGGACTATATAATGAGTCTACTATTGTTTTGTATTGATTTTTGCTATGCGAGACATTGCTCCAATTTGTTAGCTTTCCGTGAAGTTTCCAATATATTTTTTGTGTGATTGATCTTTTTATAGACAACGCACCAAAGATTATCTCTTTTACGCATTAGACATTTTCTTGATTTTGCTTCAGACTTCTAATGGCAACGGTAGAACCTTTAGCTTGAAGGAGGCTCTTGGCACCTCATAACATTATCATTCGTTTGTTTTTTCTCTTCGATCTTCAGCGTATGCTTCTTTAACTTTTGGTAGCTGTTGAATTCCCGTGATTCTTCCACGAATGACTCAAGATTTTTATTGTGACCTACTAGAAAATTATAGGTTCTTCTCTTATTCGCGACTTTGATGCATTGATTAGCACACTCCCCACACCAATGGCTTGGCTCAAATCATGGTTTAAAATTGCGCAATATGAGGCTCGCCTTTGTGCAATTCCAGTAAAAAACGCCTCGATGCTTACGCCTCGAGTTTTATTTATGAGGCTTGCACCTCAACTTGGTTGAGGCCCGCCTCGCTTCACTGGCATGAGGCTTACGCCTCACACTATATATATTAAAACTTACATAAATCTTGAAGTAAATGTCCGACATGGACTCTATAGGAGAGGAGGAAGGGGAGAGAGCAGTTCATCATAATGATGATTCAAATGAAGAACCCCTTAATGATGACAGTGCTGATGACTTATGAGTTCTTATGTGATATGTCATTGCTATTTATTTTTGGAAATTTGAATTATATGTTAATGAAAAGAATACTGGGATTTGAGAAAAATAGAATTTTGAGTTGAACTATATTTCATGTTGTCTTATTATTGGGATATTTTGATTTCACTTCATATCTTATGTTTTTTTTTATGTTTTATATTATTCTCTCATTAGTATGTAAAAAATTTATCATTTTATGTTTACGCAATCTTTTGATTTTGAGGCTTACGCCTCGCCTCACGAATGAAAAACGCCTCAATATCCGAATACGCAATTTTAAACATTGGCTCAAATATGTCAATTTCTTGTCAAATTTTTGTGTGAAGTTTTTGGTCATGCTCATACTTGCTTGAGATTATGAGCATGGTCTCACAATTCATATAATTGGGCAGAGTTTTTATGATTCGAACACACCATGTTAACTTTCTTCCAAATTGCTTGTGTGGTGTTGTGGATTTAATTCAAGGGCCAATGTGTTCTTTCTCACAATTGACATCTCTAGACATCACGAGGGCGTCATTGTCATCCCATGTTGGAATTGAAAGGTTACTCACTTCAGGTTTATGGATGGCACTATCCAAATACCCAATATTACCTCTTCCTTGAATCACCATTTGGATTGAGCGAGGCTTTTGAAAGAAGTTATTTCCATTAATTTTGTAGAATATGATTTGAAGTCATGACTCATGAGTGCTCCATGAAGACTCCTGGGTTGAATGTGTGGTTGGGTAAGGAGAAGGAACAGCGTATCTTCTCTTCATCTTTACTTGACCATGTTAGAGCCCTCTTGTAGCCGTATGCTATTGTGATCAAACAAAATTTTGTTATTATATCATGTTAGAAAATGATGTATAAGAGTAGAAGGGAAACAAATAGTCGTAAACTTGCTTACTTCTACAAGCAAAAAATTGGCTTCTATACGTGGGCTAGGAAGGTGAAGAATTACCTTGCTCCAGCAAGAAGGGAAAAATCAAAATTTAGATAATGTTTAATTTGAAAAACTAATAATGCAATTGTTGGTATATACCTAGAAATCAACCATTGGTAAGCGCAACTTAGGCAGCCTTCCAATCATGTCAAAATTGCTGCTTTCAAGGAAGATTTCCTAAAGTAATTGACATCCAAGGAGGAAACTGCCAGCAGTCCAGGCCTAAGGCAGCTGAAATTTGATCCAGGAATCAATACCGCCAGACCTTCCTGCCAAATGCATTCTGAATTCTATCAAGTGAAAAAACTCCCAAGTATTGTAGAAGATAAAATACATATATTCTTTCCCTTTTCGAATAAGGCGGCAGCTGGCATTCCATGGAAAGTCTTCCCTCGACAACCTAGAACTACATGTTAATTTAATATCAATGATGCTTTTTCAAGCCACCTCTTATACACAACCTTCGTTTTACATTGATGATGATATAATGATATTACACTTGAACGGTAGTTGAGAAGCTAATTTTAATATAATGCTACTTTTCTTTGTCTGTTTATGTTGTTTTCCATCATTATTTTATGTAACTAAAATTAATGGCCAATGCTTTTTGTTTCTCTCTTTTTACCCTTTTACAATGCAGGGTTAGAGAAAAGAGCTCCAGTTTTGGATGCTGCCTTCTTACGTCTTCTTGGGTGGTTAAGGACAATTGCATGAGGTGTAAATCAAGCCCCCAGCAGTTTTTCATTCAGCAGCACAGGCTAGTTTTTGATGGATTGCGGATGCAGCATTACCATTTCTTGGCTGCTTTGGGAGCAGGAGGTACTTGCAAATGGTTCTAGATTGGTCATTATGGATTCAAGGCATGGTTGAGAATAGCTAATGAAGAATGATAACCTGTACAGTTTTATTGATATTTTTCTTGCAAACTTGTTTATATTAGGAAAATTTACCTTCTTTTTAACAAGAAAGAAAAATGTACCTTTTAAACTCATGAATGAGACCTTTGCGTCAAAATTTTGGATCAAGAAGTTAGAATTTGTCATGACTATGTGATTCATGCATCATGTTCATTTCTAGCAGCAATGATGAGAGTTATAACAAAAGGTATATAATACTCGGACATGAATTTTGGGACTCATACATCATTTGGATATGATATGATAAATTTGGGGTTGAAAAAAATAAGCATAGATTAGGCGTTCATTATCATAATGACAATTTATGTCAAAATTGATTATTTACAAAAATTAATTATTATCAGTAATAAAATAAATATAGTCCTCATAATGTAATAAATACCATATCATAAATTTCAATTCCGCACATTATAAACATCAAAGAAGATTCAATGTAAAACTCTTGCCAACTTGGAAAAAAAAAATTGGATGATAGAATTGGTGGCCTTGCCCAATTAGCTTTCCACGAGAAAGAAGGGGACTCAAATAAATTTAAAAAAAACACTAACAGTGTGCCAAAATAGTCAGTGGTATACCCAGTATTTCCTTTTGCGTTTGATGCACAAGTTAGATTTTTTTTCCTCAAAAAGCTGGCATGTTCATACCATATCTTACACATGTTGCTGCCCTTTCGATGGCGTGCATGTGCCTGACAATTATTATTATTATTTTGGGACATTTAGGCCAATTAAAGCAGACTCACACACACATCAGGACCTCTTATTTGATAGCTTAAGCTCCCAACCAACAGATCAAAACGAGCTGTGTGCTTCGTCATTTTTTGAAGTGTGGTGCATCATATCAAGGCAACTGTAAAAATTATGTTTAAATATTTCTTAGTCTATATCTATTTGTTGTTGTTGACATTATTGATATTTTTATATGGTTGCTTGAATGACTAATTATTGATCACTTATAAAGTTGATATTATTGATATGCAGAAATGTAATATTTGATGGTATAACCTCGTAAATCTTTTCTTTATTTTTTATTATAACTTTTCTTTTGGAATAATAAATCTTTAAATCAATTTACTTTTTTTTTTTAAATATTTAGTTGACTGAAAATCAAAATGTTTCAGCTCAAAATTGAGCCTTTTGATTTTGAGTCAACTCAAAACTGAATGTGTTTGATCCACAATTCAATTTTAAGCCAACTTCTTAGTGATAAATTTATTTTGCATCTATGTTGGATCGACTCTAAACCTGATAATTTACAGCTGGCACTTGGCATATGGACTTACATGTTTACTTCTTCATGCTTTCTAAGTTTTTTATTTTCCCTTGCGATTATTACTTTACTATTCTTGATCTCCTTACATAAAATTTAATATGGCTATGGACACTGCATGATTACTAAACATTAACTGTGATGCTCAATGAGGCTTTTCAAATTTATTAAGGCCTCAATATAGAGTTTTTTCTTAAGAGCCCTAAAAGGGTGTTTATAGATGAGACTCCTGCTAATGTGATGTTTGCAAAGGGGTTGATGCATACAATCTGACTAAGAGTTTATAGAAGTTCTTACAAAGTTCAAATCTTGTCATCTATTTCAGACTAGAGCAACGTATCATGTGCTTATAGGCCTATTTCTTAGCTCACAAACCCATAAAACTACAAAAGAAAAAAACGGGCATGTATGCCATTTATAGTAGAATTCTCTGATTGAGAACAAAAAGCATGAGCTCTGGTTGAGTAGTAGAAAGGACACGATGGTGGAAACTTCTCTTGTTGTATTGTGACATTTTACCAAAGGGCTAATGTTCAAGCACCCTTTGTGGTATTCATCCATCTTAAGGAACTATATGCTAGGAGTCGGTACCCGATAACCATAGCAATCATTACACCAACCTCCTTAACACCGTTGTCGAGGTGATTTACATTTAAATATGGTGGTACATGGCCATACTGCACTTTCAGTAGAAGCCTGTATGTATGGTAGTTGAATGACATGTAGCGGATCCATGATATGAAAACTGGAACTTTCTGCACATAAAAAACTTTTAAGTCATCATTATATCCCCAGCACATAAATTCACCAAATTGAATGATACTAGAAAAGTAATTCAAGGTAAGTTCATTGAAAACGGATGATATTTCCAAGTTAATGAATCTTTAGAGAAAATACTTATCAGTTACGTTCTATGCTGTATGATAATACTGAACGCCGTATATGGTTTTGTTTCCTTGTATTTAAATGAGCATATAGTTATGTAAGAAAATGTAATATATCAATTATCAAATCAGTGTCTTTGACCTTATATTATTCCAACAATTTTCTGTTTTCTCTATGCCATTATGTTTGAGACTTGAGAGGCAGGTTATCCTTAACTACTGCCAGCATGTTGAAAACTTGTTCAGAGGTGCTTTTGGAAGATTGTGTCAGGCTGTCAGCCACTCCATCGAATCATTGATCTTTATTTACATTTAGTTATCAAGTAAATTCTTATGGTTAGTCATTGAGTCCCATGGTACTTTTTCGTTGATTTGGCAAACAATGGGCAGGATAGTCAAGAATAAAGCCAAAAAATGTGATTATGAGAAAATAATGAATGCAATACTATGATAAAAAGACTGATATAATATAGATGCTAATGATAGGTCGCCAGTAATGTGGTTTTTTATAAGAAAGTCATAGATGGGGATTAAATCATGTCGAATCATTATGAGTTTAGAAAAGTGTCGAAAATTAGTTGAGGGTATTTTTGGAAGTATGCAAAAGATACTTATTAGTAAAACTAAATAAGGGGTTGTTTGTTTGGCTGCATTTTGAGTTTGAGTAAAGTAAATGTAGGAATTTTAAAATACGGACATTGGGATGGCTTAGTTTAAAATATAATGTATTTTGGGAGTGCGTTTGGAAATCACCTCTAGTTCAGCTTAAGTGTATTTGAGCAAATTCCAAATACATAGTTTGGATTAAGGTGATGTCAACTAGCCACTGCTACTCATTGTAGCTTGCAGCCAGCCCCATGTTGCTGCAGTCACCAGCATCTCACGAAGCTACTAGCCGTTGGATGTTGTCGGCCATTGCCAGCCAACCACCACTGCTGCTATAGCCATTGTTGGCCACCCAGGTTGCTTGTTGACGCCATCCTTAGCTGCCACCATCAGTTCCATCACAACTTGTTGTTGTCCATAGTTGCTGCCAGCCCGTTGCCACAGATCATTGCTACACGCCATTGCTCTAGCTAGAGGCTACCTCTGATCAACTATTGTTTCAAATGTACTAGTATTTTATTTTGCACTCTCTTCAAATCAAACAAAAAAAAAAAAAAAATCTTGCATCTATTGTATACTCAACCAAAAAACTCAATTGCTTCCAATGTAAGTACTTTTACTTTACATTGCATTTCTTCTGCTCTTCATTTTTTTTTTCTTCAAATCAAACAACCTCTAATTCTATTTCCGCACATGAATAAATGACAAGGAGAAAACATACCTTTCTAGACAATTGTGCCACTGTTGATCGGTTTTAATCAATGGTTAAGGTTTTCTTGTAAATTGATCTGCTTTTGAATGCTTTCTTAGCCCTTCATTCTTAATTCGTTTTCATTTTTGCCTACTAAAATTTCACTTGAATTTCAAAGTAACAGTGGCATTCCACTATTCAAGTACAAAGCACTTGAAATGATGGATGAGCTGAGAAGGTTCTTGAGTTCTTGTTAGTAATCAAAGTGCAAAGTAGCTTGCGCAAGATTTTGCTATGATTTATCAGTCTTTAAGGAATGTGGCATGCTAATTTACTAGCCTACAATGCTTTATCGGTTACCTTTACGAAGAAACCTCCAGCAAGCATGAAAGTCATGACAGTTACTGAAGCTACAGTAGTTGCCTTCTTTATATCCATAAGGGTAGCTCCAATTGCAAGTCCAAGTCCCTGTTCATTTTGATTGTAGTTGAATTTTAGCAAAATGAATAGCGGACTAGAATGTTGTTTGTAGAGTTAGCCTTATATGCCATGCTGCGAGTCATACCTGCGCGGCAACAATACTGAGAAAAAGAGTAAGCATGCTTAGAAAGAAAGGTTCTGGGCTCTGTCTTAATCCTGCCATAAAGTAGACGATCAGAAGAAATATGATTGGCAAGAAAAGGTCTAATGGGAGGTCGCTCGTCGTCCTGGCCATGAAGTATGCACTTAGTCTGTACATGTCAACTGCTCGTTCCTTGTTTAACATAGCTCTTTCTTGAGGAAATGTGAAGATTGCTGTGAATACTGGAAGAAATCCCCAGAAAACAGCAATGAAGAAGAGTAACCCCGCCTGCAATATTGAATTTCACTCAGCTAATAACAGTACAGTACTTGTAAGCTTTAGTTAAAATTCTTGCTTTGCTTGGAAAGTTTTAAATTTATATAGAAAAAGCAGTTTTAGATTAATGCCAGATTTTTTTACTTCTGCTTTATTGCTTACATTATGTTATTCATGAAGATTTATATTCTGTGCATAATTTAGTTATTTGCCTCATCGATTATTTCAGTTATCCTGAATTTACGTTATCCTATGATCCTGTTTTGGTTGTTTTGGGCTTTTCTTTGTTGCACGGAGGGAGGGAGGGAGGGAGGAATAGATTATTTCTATATTGTGCTTGAATTAATGCTAGGAGTGTAAATTGCAACTTATTATTCACATGACCATTGGCCCATCTTGCCTTCTCTATAGATTTTATTTGGATATGTAGGCCTTTATTTGGCTCCAGCCTCCCCTCTAAGAATGATGAAGTGTAATATTAGCATATTAGAGGTGAGGATGTGGAAGGAATTTCACTGAAGATTTGAAATGCTCACCCCGAATAATTAGAAGAATCAGGCTTACAATGATTATGATTATCACTGCATCATAAAACAAATCCATGAGAAACCAACCTTATTGGTTTTCGTTGGAAAATTCCTTGTTTGGCACGATTTTGAATGGAAACAAATCACTCACCAAACTATTAAATCCAACTATCCTCTAAATTTAAACTATAGCATTTTCTCAGTCCACCCACTAAAAGTTAATTACGAGTGCTAGTAAGTTTATTTGAGCTGAAGACTTTGAACTGGCTACCTTTGCTACCGTTGTACTACCTGCAAGATCTCTAATCAACACATTGTTTAAAGGAAATATGGTTTAATCTAAAATGCTGCTTCGCATCCAGCTGTAAATAATCTAATTATTTTATCTTCAGCCTAGATATGTTCATGAAAAACTGTTTTTAAACTTTTTTCATGAATATTAAAAAAATTCCCAATAAACCCGGATGAAGTTTTTTATACATCCAATTATATTTATTTAATTATTATCTTAATAAAGATAAAAAAATTTATAAAATTTAGAGTATAATACCGATCTGATTATATGTATAGTTGTGATTATAGTTGCATGTTAAAAATTTTAAACCACAATTGACTAATTGATAGAGTCTTTATTATTAATTTTGTTATTGTGTTCAATATTAAGAAATAAATAATATGTATTTGAAGAACATAACTATTTTAATAATTTAAAATTTAACATAAATTAAAGTTTGAAACTATGAAATTGGTAAAAGAGGAATTCTTGAAATTGTCCGAAACCGTATTAAAACCTTGGTTTAAGACCTCTTTATCAAAGAAACTTTCAGCAGTTAGCAAATGCAAAATCTCTTCAACATGAACAATGGAGTTCATGAGATCTTTACAAGCACAGAGTTCAAATCATGATGCTAGGAAACATTTTGTAGTGAAGCAATATTAAGAAAAATGAGGCCACATGAGTTTTAAAATTGGCAAAATATGGTAATAAAAACAGAATTCTATGTGAAAGTGAGATGATCTGAAGCCACCTTGCTTGCAGGCCTTTATTTTTTTACCTTTCTTGTAACATCTTGTATATACTTTGCCATAATTTCACTTGACATGAAGTTTAGGGTTCAAGGATTAGTACCTGATCTTGCAGTCCTTTTACTGTGTTGCCATCTGACTGCCACCAGAGTAACCCTAGGATGATTGCTGTTGTAATAACCTGAGTAATTCTCATCCAACTCATGTAATCATGTCGCCTTTCCTTGAGTCCTCTCCAAAATAGAATCGAATATTGTTGCCTCCAACTTGCTCCCCATTCTCTATTTGGTGACAACACCTTTGCCTTCAGATCATCAGCAATAGGAATTGGCATCAATAACCTTTTCTTTTCTCTGTCAGCAACTCGAGTTTCATAGGCTTCCACCAGGTACTGTTTCATTGAATTTTTAATCAAAATTATGAATGCTTAAGCTTTTCTTGTCCTATAGTCGCTCAAGCTCTTTATTTTGTCTTTTTTATATAGGATAGTATTAATATCTGACATGTGCATCGTTTACCAATCACTACAAGCCCAACTTATGGACTTTGATGTGAGTGTGTTATCAGGCATAAAATGAAGTGCTGCCTTAATGTTTTTAACAAAGGAATGCTTTGCTGCTGCAGCTGCCAGCGCCCAAAAAATATCTCCATGGTCGTTGGATGGATGGTACAGGGCATGTGCTTTCCACTTATCATCCATCTAATGGCTTGGAGGCTTTGTTTGGGCTCTGTTCTGGTCACTGTAACATTGCTCTTTTAACAATATATTTTTTTCTTCGAAATGTGTGCCCAGTTATAAGATGAGTATTACCTCGTGTACATCTTTTGGTGTCAGCTTATCGCACTTGGTGTCACTTCCCAACTTCTCTGTTTGCACCTTGTCATCTAATTCTGAAGGTACAGAGACATCATTTATGTTACCATTGGCAAGATCTAACAAGAATTCTGCTGGGTTCATTGCAATTAGAGGAGAGCATCCAATGGATTGAAAGTAAACCACAGCTTCAGATGCCTTCCCAAAATATAGCATGCTTCCTTTCCCGAGGAGAATTAATTTGTCAAATTTGTGAAAGAGTCTGCTGGATGGCTGATGTATTGTAGTTATGACTGTCTTTCCAGCCTGCCATAATTCAATGATATAGTTATCTAGGGTGTTACTGAATGGAACCAATGAAACCAAATGATAATGGCCATACAGTTGAATAGTTGATTTTCTTATATTTCTTAGATGGCTTGCTGTTTGCACTTTATTGATTCAGTTGAGGTCAAAATGTATAAAGTTCCAAATTGGAGGTTTATCTTTCCCTCTCTCTTTTTGAATTAATTTTGCTGAAACTTAGTGAGCAGTCCTTCAAAAAATTGTTTCTACAACTATGGTCAAGTTGGCATGTTTGCATTGATACTGCTATTCCATATATTAAGCATTATTCAAATCTGATTTGTGTTTCAATTTTTTATGTGTCGTTGATTATATATGGCGATGATTATACAGTTCTAGGATAAAATAATATGATAAGTAGGCATTTATTAATTATTTTTTTCATTTATGCATTTTTCTTTGTTAATTACTATTAAGATTTCTCTTCATTGATGAAGCTACACTTTATCCTACTTCCTATTATACCTGTGTGCAATAAAAGTGTATAACTAAATTGGATGAAATCCACCTGACTTGTGCTTTTTTGAGTTCCTTGCTAGTTTAAAGGCTCATAAACTACACGCAACTTTCTGTTTTACTTTCTTATCAGGCCTTTCTGAGAGGACTATTTGTCATTTATGTGTTACATCAAATATGAATACCTTTCTCTTTGTACATTTTGCCTCCTAACAGGTTGAGGTCAGTTCGTCAAGTCTGTTAATGGTGATGAATCGATGGTTTAACTTTAGGGGCTATGCAAAAGGGTAAAGCAATTAGCAAGTGCTTACCTAGAATCGACCTGAACAACTAATCGAAGAAGTTAGGCTGTGGCATATATTTTTCTGTTTGCTTGTTTTTTCTTTGGCCAATTAATTCCTTTCTGAGATTTTCTGTCATAATCCAGTTACCATGTTTATGAATTTTGGTGTTCAAGGGAGCTAGTCTGGCTTATTTGAAACAGAAAACAATTACTCTTAGTAAAATATATCAAACTATAGGTCTTACTTACCTCTGCAATATCATGAAGAACCTGGATAATTCTTAAGGCTGTTGTTGAATCTAAACCAGAAGTGGGCTCATCAAGAAATAATAAGGAAGGATTAATAATAATCTCACTCCCTATGCAGACTCTTTTCCTCTCACCTCCTGAAACCCCTCTCACAAAAGATCCTCCAATCATGGTATCTTGGCACCTGCAAAATGTTATTTTTAATCACCCTTCAAATGAAATGGAAAACACATTTTGATGTTTGTAAACTCCTAAACTGAAATTCTTTGCCTTTTTTTAATTACAGATAAGAGTGAAAACCACTTAGTCTTTTAAGATTTGAAATTACCTATCAAGCCCAAGCTCATGGATGACATTTGTAGCCCTTTCTTCCTTCTGCTGCTTACTCATCGAATTCGGAAGCCGCAGGAGAGCTGAATAAGTAAGTGTTTCTCTCACGGTAAGATGTGCAAACAGAACATCGTCCTGTGTCACAAACCCTATCCTGCCAATAGATATCCGTTAGCTGCTCCAAATCTATGAAGTTAATGCTTTTATGCCACCTACATGCATGGATGCTATATTGGTGGATTTATTTTACCTGCGTTTTAGTGATTTGGTGTAACTTTCATCATTGTAAGTAATTAACCCTTCAACTGTGCTTCCATTAATCCTTCCACCAAGTAGGCTGAGGAGGGTCGTCTTCCCACTGCCAGAAGGCCCCATGAGAGCTAGGACCTCCCCTGGGCTTGCTGAACCTGTAATTCCGTTAAGGATATCTTTCTCAGTGCTTCTTGTAACGCCTTTGAGGATTACCTTGTATTTAAGCTCTGAAAACTGCAAAATTAATGAAAGAATGTGGCAGCAAGAATACCTTTTCAGTAGCAGTAAATCAAAGACTACTACTTGAGCTCATGGATTCCCAACCTCACAATTTCTCACTGATCATTAAACTTCTCTGTAACACATCAATTATTAATTTGTTATTTAACTATGTTTGATTTATACCCTACAGTTATAACTTTTTTGTTTTGACAGTTTTTCCAGCTAACCACATATATACTCTTCATCCATATTTGTCTATTTGCTAGAAATTTAACAACTAAATGAGAATACAATGGTACCAATAACTTTTCTCACCTTGAGATAAATCGGCAAGGTGGGTTCCAATATCATCCTTTTCTTCTTCTCTCCAGCCTCTAGGTCTACTGCTGCAAGGTAAGCAGTTTTTCAGTAGAATTCATATTAATTAATCACATTACTAGTTTACTTTGTTATCCTTCTAGTTTATATTTCCTTCAGCACCTGTAATTCCATGTTAAAAATTCGATTTACTCTGAATTATTCTTCAATTTCACTCATCTTATTTCCTTTTCAGCATTTAATTATGGCACAGCTGTCTTCTGTTTCTTTCTACCCATTTAAGTGGTAGATAATGAAAGCGATATTCCAAAAAAAAAAAATTTTTTTTTTTTTTGAGTTTATCTCTATACCATTTTCATCATCACTGGAATGCCTGAGACCAGCAATGGTGTCTTCAAGAGGGACGTTGAAGCCGGTGAAGCCAAAGGAGAAGCCTAAGCTAGCACTGGAAGCTCGGCTGAGTGCTGCACCACTGCTGACATCCTCCAGGTCAAGCTTCAGTTGTGCACTCCTTGATTTCCTTACATGGTGATTACTACTCTTCCTTCCAGGTGAGGTCCCAACCAGCTTCTTTCCGCCGCTAGGCGGTTTTGCAGGAAGACTCAGCCCACTACTAATGTTGATCTCTGGTATTGTTATTGCCTCAGCTGATGCCGTTCGACTGAGCGACATAACCGTCGCCGCCTCTAGCTGTTCTGACTTTGCCCTCACAATTCCAGATGCTGATGAATCCATTTTGCACTGCTGCATTCAGAAGTAACACAACTACTCAGTTTATTTCATCACAAATAGAAGAAATAGTTAAGCCTATCAAGAGAAGGAAACATATTTCTATTCCTGGTAATAAGTGCATAAACTGTTCTGCTTGCCAATTTTGGTTCAATTCTATGTTTCTTTGCTTATTCTTTTCCAAATAAAGCTCCTCACAAAGTATCACTTATGCAGATAAAAATTGAAGAAAAGAAAGCAAGATGAATAAAAATGCAAAATAAAATACTGGCAAGGTAAAGAAAGAAAGATACATAAACCAAAGACTACAAATTAATGACCTTTGCATCTACCCAAAATAGGAATTCTATTACCTTCAAGCTTGGAGATGAAGAGCTAACATAGAATGGGGGACATCAAACAGTTTATCAAAGTGCTCAAAACTCAAAAAGAAAGTTGGGCTTTTGGAAGGTTCAATCAATGCTACAGAGCTGGCTACTCCTTTGCCCTCCTTATAAAGCTGTTCACCTGCCAGGTAAGGTCAAGCTATGTCGTGCATGTGAGGGAACTCAAGCTCAACTTGCATTCATCTCCCTCAACTTCTTGCAAATTGCAAAGTTGAATTTATTTTTCGTTTTTTATTTGTTTCTCTTTATGCCATTTCCCAATAGCCAGGGGTGTTACGGGCAATTTTTTTTTTTTTTAAAAATTACTGATTTGTTTTAATGATTACGAAGGGTTTTGTTTTCCATAACTAGAGAAAGCATTACTATAATGTAAAGTCATAGGCAATGAAAGATATCTGTTTTTGCTGTATAAGTTGTGTTGAGGTGTAGAGTTATCATGGGACTCTGATAGTTGAAAATTGATATCAATTTTTGATGGCTAATAGATAGTAAATGTTGATCATTTGTAAGATTTGGACAACAATTAATGAAAAATGTTGGATGTTGAGGTTGTGATGGGTAGCTAGCTTATAGCTACTCTTTAATAAGAGGGGAGATCGAGCGACTAGAAAGATTGATATTAAATGTTGATGATTGATTATTGATGAGGAACGAGGAGGCTAGGTGACAATGGGTAGTCAATTTGGTTGATTTCTTGGTAGGAGGAAAGACCATTGATTGCAAAGACAAACATCAAACACTGATGATTAATGGATGTTTAGGCATTAATTATTGTTTCGATCTAGCGGGGTGCTTGATAGGGAGCATAAAAAGTAGGATAATGATGGGTGATCAACTTGGTCATTCTTCTAATAGGAGAGGAGATCGAGCAATCGTGAAAGAAGACGTCAAATGTTAGTAGTGATGAAGGGCATTGATATGAGTTGACAATTGATATTAAGTGATAGATAATGGTGGGCGTCAATGTTGGTCAATATTGAGCATTGATGTCATTTGATGGGAGGTAGAACTCTAAAATTCTCAACTAATCCATATTTCTTTGTTAAAAATTCATCATTTAGGGTGAAGAATTTAAGCTTATTTATAGATTTATAAATGGGACAATTTGTATAAAACTCTTGAGCACTCCATCAAATATTACAAAGAAATTCTTCTTGATCATTTTATATATTTTTAGATGTCTTAATGAACTCATAATTGAGTAATCTTAAACTCATCAAATTTATCCGTTCGAGTCACTCTGCCTGTAATCAAGAAAAAATTGGAGAATGTTTGATCCACAAATGACATCCCGAAGTTTTAAATTATAATTTTGAGTTTTTGATTTAAGTACATATTAATTCAATCCAAACATTATTGTTCATTTGCTTCATCTCTTTAAACCACACATCCTAAAATATAAATTTATAGAAAAGTAAAGTTTGTGTGAACTCAAAGGTAATTTCAAAAGTTTCACAATCCCCAAAATTGAGTGTTTTGAAATCATAAAATTTTGCCAAAATTTGTGCTTAGTTAAATGAATTTTTTGGTGGTATATTAGTTGACAAAATTTTAGGATGCAAGAAAATTGTGAGTTCAAGAGAAGTCTAGGTCTCAAAAATTTCGGGTGAATTCAAAAAGGCGATCAATCCCTAGATAATGTGTGCCTTCACTAGCGGTCGTAAATTAAGTAATTCTACACGTCATAATTTCACAATTCTATCAAGTTAAAATATCTTTTGGAATGGAAATTGGTGATATTTTTCTTAAAATCTATAAATATATTTAATATTGGTTCCAAAAATCTACAAGAAGGTTGAAAAATGTTAAAATTGAGTTCAAAATAAATAAATAAAATAAAAAATAAAACTTGTGGTGTCTCACCTTGCTTGAAAAGTCTGAGATTGTTGTGAATGAGTTGGAGAGATAACATCTTGTGAAAGAACTCATTTGAAGGTAGTTTGTAATGGTGATAAAGGCGTGGAGTTAATAGTGACATCTTATAGTTCTAATTTTTTTAATAAATAAATGAAAAAAATAATTTTTAAATAAATAATATTTGATTAATTGGTCACTTTTGATCTTTAATAATAATAATAATAATAGTAATAGGGAGAAATCTATTACAAAAAAGCTAACGTTGACAATGGCTTGATTTGCTGAATAATACTAATAGACATCCTGATTAGACATTGGAAGAAGAAATGTGGCAACAAAGATGCCACCTTCTGATGAGAAAGTTATGCCTTGGATTCGTTTCTTCACATCAACACCAAACCAAGAAAGTAAGAAAGACTTTGGCTTTTTTATCATAAATTCATCACATTGAAGTTTAAAAGCATTGATTAGATTCCAACACAATGGACAATAATCATAAGTAGTTTATGTTGAAAATGAGCAAAAATAGCACTGCTTCTACAATCATAAAGGTAGTAGAATGCTACCTCTTTGTTGGATCCAAAAATATTTTTAGGGGACATCATGTTTTGAGAGAGATCAATTCGGGTTTGAGAGTTGGGTTTAGGTCGAACTTTGAAATGAATTTAGTTAGCCCAAACCCGTTAATTTCAACCCAAATGAGCTCAAATCAAACACTTGAAGCGTAATTATAAACATTGAGATATTGATTGGAGGACCAAATTATCTTGAAATCTCGTATGCTTATTGTCAAATCAACAGTTTAGATGAGAAGAATCACACAAACCCAAAATCAAGTCCGACATTATGAAGGGGTTTAAATGCTAAAAAAAAACTCTATGATCAACATAACTAATATGAGCCATCTGATAGTGTTCAAGCTTTTAACTATATTTATAGGGTATACTACTATAAAAATTTATAAATATGCCCCCATTCTCAACATGAAGTGAGTTGTGACCTTGCTTGAGATTTAAGAAAGCTTAAAGACTTGTAGAGTTTTGAAGCTTCAACTGTACCCCAACACTGGACCATCATTTGATAGTCGCCATCGAACCATCGTCTGACTACAACCATCAAACAACCTCTCAATCATCGCAAACAGTTCACTGCTTGACCACTATGGTTTGACCATGGTCCTCTGCCCATCATTGTCAAACTATGTTCCTCTGACCATAGTGGCAAAATTAGTCTTTTGATCATCATACCCCAACTATAATCCTCTGAATATTGCCAACCACAATTACCTGATTACAATTAGTTGATCATTATTCTTCAACTATGATCATCTGACTACCATCACCTAATTACAATCCTCTAATCACATTACCTGACAGTGGTTCTTCAACCAACTTTGCTCGACTATGATCCTATGACCACCATTGCTTAACTTTAATTCTTCGACCATCATAGCTTGACTAGATGCCTCAATTAACATTGCATGACTATTTTCTTCAACGACCATCGCTTGTCTATGACCTTTATATAAAGAGTGCTTGTATAGTAATTGAACATTCCTATAGTGACTTGATAAAGATCTAGTAAGACTGGCATGTTCATTTAGCATTTAGTGAATTTCTACAAAATATTAGAGCTATTTTATGAGCAATTTGTTGCCAAAGACTTGGTTATTTGAATTGGAAAAGAAAAGTATTTGAGTGGAAAAGTTCTTTGGGAGTGTTGTGGCACTGTCATATTGGCACTACGACGCTCATTTCTATTTTGAGTAGAAGAAATTCATTAAGGATGTTGCGACATTACCATTATGGCATAGTGATGCTCGCCTCTATGTTTTTAGGAATTGATAAGCGGAAAGAGTCTCTTGGGAGTGTTGCTGCTCTGTCGTATTAGGCATTTCAGTGCTAGTTTTCTATTTTTCAGAACAGTAGTCATCCGTTGGGGGCACTGTTGTGCTAAAAGTATTGATGCCGCAACGCCAAGAAATATATTTTCCTATAAATATCCAAATCCACCATTGCATGCCAAAAATTTCCATTTCCAAATTGAGAGGCAATGGCTAGAGAGAGAGGAAAAGAGAAGTTTAGAGAGAGAAAGTTAGTTTTACAAGTCTTTGGGCCATTTTTGTTCGATAAAGTTATTCAACTTGAGATAGATTACTTTACCCAGCCTTGATTTTTAATATTTTGTGGTTTGTGGAAGTTTTTTATTTAATTTGGAAAAATTTCACAAAAACCGTGATATCTCAATATCGCAGCAAATTTAACTTCGCAACTTTTGCTATATGGACACCCTAATTATTCTGCACAAATATGCATATTTATTTTAAATTTTAAAAAAATGTGATAAAAAATTGCATGAAATTGCTCAAGTCACAACCTATTTACATAATGAATCTTGAATAATTAATCATAATGTTGAGCTATATCTTTTACATGTAGATTTTTTTTTAAATAATTCCCCACATTTGCATAAAAATTTATTTTTACTTTTTATCAAAAATTTTGAAAATGTATTTTTTAGATAATAAATTATAAATTATAAGATATATGACTAAAATTCTGAATCCATAATTTTAATAAAAGTTACCTTCTCTTTTAACCAAGCTTTTAAAAACTAGACCGATCGATTCAACTGTGAACCGATCATAAGGCTGGTTTGATATATTATTAAAACCAGTTTCAAATTCAGCCTGACTAAATCAATCAAAACTGCCCGTTCAAACAGTTCATATTCCTTTGAACTAGGTAGTTTAGTTAATTATTTAAATAAATTAATTTAATCTATTTATAAGAAATATTAACTTAATTTTAATTTTTTAAATTTTCTTAAAATTTTTATTTATTTATAAATGAAAATTTCACTCAAGCATTTTATATGGATCCATCAATATGAGTTCTTACCTCACACAAACTCAATAACTTAATATAAACATTATCAAGTGAAAGTTCCCATGTGATGTAAAACTATATAAATTAAAATTCTTATGTCCTTAGTTTACAACATATACTATATATTTTAAAATAGTTTTTTTAATAATTTTTTATGATATAAATAGCATTTATTTTTAATTAATAATGATAATTTAATTATATATTTCATTTATTATTAATGCACTATAAAATAAATAAATAATCTTTGGCAAATTAAATGATAGTTACAATATATATAAAATGTCCTAAAAAAGTATTTGAAAAAAAACCCCTAAAAGTCTGATATTTTCCCAACAGTGGGACCTTCTTAATTAGAAATCTGTGACAAGGATGACCACCAATCAATAACATTACTACACGAATCTCAAAGATAATTCTAAGGCAAAAGTTTCCTGATGCCTAACTTTACGCTGCAGCTTGCTACAGCGATGAAACGGGGTCGGTCGGATGGCCGGTGCCGCCCTCATTAAGTAGGGCGGACAGTGGGTCCCACCATGATAACGGAATGCAGATTTTGCA